AGGGAAAAATGACATTTTACAGGGGCTTTACTGTTGTTCTGAATTGTCAGTCCTGCTTTAGTGGAACTTGTATCCCTTGAATTTGAAATGAACACTTTTACTCTCTAAAGACCACAGTGTTTTCATTAAAAGCTAATTATGTCATGTAAAGTGATGCAGAATGGCATAAAACTCTGGAAATTAAAAAATTTCAAGAAGCACTTTCCCCTTGTTTGAGATCTCACAGCACTTTTTGATTGAAAACGCTTGCTTTTCAGTACATGGCATGGTCTGGAAGGAACAGGCACTGGGTCAGGGTTGCAGTCACTAATTGTAGCTCTGCCACTATCTTGCTTTGGGTCAGTCGCTGCTCCAAGTCCAGACCTCCTTTTCTTTCAAGTTATGCTTTTACTGATTTCACAGTTAAACATTTATTTATAGAATCATCGAATGGTTTGGGTTGGAAGGGACCTTAAAGCCCATCTAGTTCCAACCCCCTGCCATGGGCAGGGACACCCTCCACTAGCCCAGGTTGCCCAAAGCCCCATCCAACCTGGCCTTGAACATTTCCGGGGAGCCAGGGGCAGCCACAGCTTCTCTGGGCAACCTGTGCCAGGGCCTCAGCACCCTCACAGGGAAGGATTTCTTCCTCATATCTAATCCAAATTTCCCCTCCTTCAGCTTAAGGCCGTTCCCCCTTGTCCTGTCACTCCCTGCCCTTGTCACCAGTCCCTCTCCAGCTTTCCTGGAGCCCCTTTAGGGACTGGGAGGTTCTCTAAGGTCTCCCTGGAGCCTTCTCTTCTCCAGGCTGAACAACCCCACCTCTCTCAGCCTGTCCTCATAGCAGAGGTGATCCAGCTCTCTGATCATCTTATTAATTCAGTTTATTTATTACAGAATGCTAAAAGTTTCTTTACATAAAAACATTTTACCCTTCGACCTTACTCCAGTTTTCCCATGGTTCTGTTTATTCAAAGGTCCATTGTATGTGATAGTAGAATACGCTTCCAAAGGAAACCTGCGTGAGTACCTGCGAGCACGCCGCCCCCCGGGGATGGAGTATTCGTTTGATATTAACAGGGTACCAGAGGAGCAGATGACATTCAAGGACTTGGTATCGTGCACATACCAGTTGGCAAGAGGCATGGAGTACCTGGCTTCACAAAAAGTAGGTAGAACTCAGCAAATACTGCCCAAAGCACATGGTGTGTATTTTTTTTTTTTTTTTTTTTTTTTTTTTAGTTTAGATTTGTTCTCGTCTCATTTGCTGGGAGAAGGACCTTGCTCAAACAAGTTGCATAATCCACGCTCTTGAAAATCAGTGGGAAAATTCATACGCTTGAAGTTTTTAATCTCTGTTTAATGACATTGCTAAAATGAGGCCCAGAATGGATCATTTAAAGTAAATATTGCGTACATATCTGCACTTTGAATTCATAAGCACAGGTGGTCACTTGATTACACAAGTCACATCACACCACCCAGGAGACAGCAGGCACCGTTTGCCTTCTGTTTCCAGTCAAATCGACCAAATCAGCTCATGTAGTGACGCAAAATGAATGAGTTCAGTTACTGAAAGGATTTACAGAATGATAACAGGCAGAGTTCAGAAGACCACAACATGCCAAGGCAAAAATTGTGAATGGAAGAGGCAAAAATAAATGGAGTGAATTAGTCACTTCAATTAGGCACTTTACTTCAAACTGGTCTTTGTCAGGAGAGCAAGCTTACTGAAAGAATTTATTTATCCTGTTGTGTCCCTAGACACCTATTTCTTCAAACTTTTTTTTTTTTAACCAGAAATTTGATTAAATTATAGTTATGAAACCTTAAATAGCCCTGTATAACTCTGCAAACATTGCGGCTTGGTGGACAAGTGATCATGAATACCCTGGGTGGTGTTTGGACCCACTGGCTAAACCACAGCACCAGATACTGATGATAAGCACTTCTGGAAAGTGTGGAGTGGTCAGTGGGATTTGTACCGATTTCCAGTCATGTCCGCTCCCAAGTACGGAGCTGTTTTTAACCAAAGACCAGAGCTGAGCATAAACCTCCATTCCCGTTGTGTAGAGTCATGGTCTTTTTTTTTGGTCTGCACTTGGTAGGGGGAGGGGGAATAGAGGTCTAATTTTGCTTTTATCCTTTTATTTTGAAATAGTAATTCTTAATGCAGTAGGATAGACAGGGAGATGTGCACGAAACCGAGAGAAAATCTTCTAATGAAGTAAGCATGAGTATTGTATTAGGTAAAGCACCTTAGGATATCTCTTTCTAAGATTAGTGAAACATTTGCCTGGCAGTAAGCCATATCCCAAGAAAATAGAACTGTTGTGAAAGGAAAAAATAAAGCTTTTGATTGGCAAATCTTGAGAACAAGTGTCTGCCTGAGAAGCTCTGAAGTGCTGTTGTAGGACGCTGCCAAGGTGTGTGCTCGCACAGATGCACGCAGCAGAACCACTTCATCCTTCATCCAGTTCATTTGCAAAAACACTTGATCAGCGCTGAGCCGAACTCGACAGAATGCGAGGCATTGCACAAGGCAGTGGGCAGAGAGAAAACAAAGGCAGCACATAGTAAAACTGCGCATTCCGGTTCTTCAGATATCCCACCATTTCTGTTTGTATTTCCCTAGTTCTTTTACCCTTAGGGATCCGTTTACTGAGCTGGAATAATAAGAGAGCTGGTCTTCTCACGGTATTTCCATCATGCAGGAACTGTGAGAAGGTCAGTGTTCTTGTTATTTCAATCCAATAAATGGCTCACTGAGACCAAAAAAAGAGGAAAAAAAATGTAAATAACATTTTTGGGCACCTCCTTTTTGCCTTATAAAAAGGTTTTGCCTTACAAGCAATTGTACATTGGAAATGGGATGCTGTTCCTAAGTTGGATGGATGCTTTAAAATTCTGTTGACGTGTCCACTCCACCATTGCAGTACCGTGCAAGAACGACCAGGGATCTCCAGATACAGAGACTGGCCCAGATCATTGCAAAGAGACAGCAAATCATTAGGGCCGGAGGATTGGCTATGAAACCTGTCAGATACGGAAATCAGTCATGGCACCATTTTGAAGATAGGAAGAGTCTCAGTTGTAAAACTGTAGGGTGTGAGAAAGCGGAAATATACTGACAGGAGGTAATAGGGTTTGAGTCACTTGGTGTATTCACTCAGAGGTGTTTCACGCCATTTGAGATGCTCTGTGGTACCCCCAGCCTGCTGCTCTAGAAAGGCACGGGTCTGCTGTTGATCCTGTGTTGTTCCTGGTAGTCTCATCAAGATACCTTGGATATCGCAGGGCATCTCAGATGACAATGCGTACTTCTATTTGGGCATCTGAATTGAGTTCCTAGTGTCTCAGAGGATGTTCACATAGGGGTTGAGAAGGGGGACAGGGAAGTAGGAAGGCTGGCCTATGTTGTTTCCGCTATCGTAACGTTGCTGATGCTGAATTAGAAAACAGGTTTGATGCTGAAAGCGTATGCTGTTGTCTGGTCCTGTGCACACGAAGGCATTGCTGGAACAGGTTTTTCCTGGCAGTTCCCCATGACTAACCCAGAGCAGAAGCTTTGTAGGCTCATTTTACCCGTGCAGGATAAGAGAGCTCAGAAAATTGCTGGGGCAAGTTATAATGCAAGAAAGAAATTAGCCGTTGTACAGGGTTTTTTTTGTAGTGGTTCAGTCCAGCATGTCTATGCACATGCTGAAATAAAAAGGACAACATAAAGAGTAATCCAAAAATTGGGGGGGAAGGATGCTTAACTTGAAAAGAAGTAGAATTTCCTGGGGGGATTCCAAATGCCATGTTTCTTACCATGCCCCTGCTGCCATCAACCCTAATAAGGCTGCTTAAACACAGGAACAGTATCCAGAGCAGTCATGTCCTTTCAGCGTCAAGAATCGGTTGCAAGTTTTCAGGATAATGCTGACATGAAGGAAAAATCTCTGAAGAGATAACATTTGTAGTTTTAGCTGTTTAAAAAGCAAAATGCTCAGCCCAGATTGTGTGGTTTTGGTGCGTTTTTTATTAAATTGTTATAGTCTCATGGTTGAAGTAAGTACACACATCCTAGACATCTAATTTACGATTATACACTGTGGATATATCTCATATTAAGATCTTATATATTAAAAATGGTTGCATTTATCCAGACTGTCAGGTTTTAGCTCTGGTGAGATGATATCATTTAAGAGAAGCAACTTAATAAAATGCTCATTAACAGTATTTGTAATGAAAGTGCTGCAATACCCGTACCTGGGCACGTGGACCGGAGGGTGAATCACAAACAGCGTGGCACAGTTTGGGTCACCACCCAAGCTCTCAGCCTTAGCAAAATATAAGTCTTAAATAAACCAGGCTTTTCTAAGAGGCTTCTTAGGGCCGTTGCTCAACTTGGAAACACCAGCTGAGGATTACAGTAATGAAGACAATCATATTTCACGGGCTTGTAGTAAATGTGTGGCCTTCCCACTTTGTGATTTAGGTTAAAATCTGTAAAGGAGACTTAGTTATGGTGTAGGAGTAATTTCACTTTTACAGCAGTTTATTTCAGTGGGCCTTTTTTTTTTTTTTTTCCCTTTTCTTTCCAGTGTATCCATCGAGACTTGGCTGCAAGAAATGTTTTGGTAACGGAAAATAATGTCATGAAAATAGCAGACTTTGGTTTAGCCAGAGACATCAACAATATAGATTATTATAAAAAGACTACTAATGTAAGTGGATGGTTTTCTTATCTCTGGAAACAAGTGTTTCTTTTAATGATTCACTTCAAAACTATGGTTATAAACTTATACAACTTATTGTACAGCAGCCTTCCTTTTCACTGCAGACAGAGAACAGGGATCAAGGACATAAGCATTTCTGTCCCCTCTTACAGTGACAGCTAGTTAAAAAGATAACCAAAGAGACTATGTATTATATGATTTATTAGAAATGCTAAAATACAAGAATTGTTGTTTGTGTGTCCCTGACTCCAGTCACTTGAAATAAGTGGAAATATTCCTCTTGATTCCAGCTCATTTTGTACCAAAGCTAGGATCTTGACAAACACTGTATAAACAGTGCTAGCAATAACCATAATAAAAATCCTGTTTATGTGTGATAATGCCACATATAGCTTTATGCCTTTTGCCTGTGCTTAGTTGTTCTGTACAAGTTATGGTGGTAGTATCAAAGCGGGGCTAGAGGATGAGAAATTTGATTTTTTTTATTCCCCACTCTGTCCCGTTTCATTGTTTAATCTGTACCAAATCAAGAAGATAAAACCTTTCAGGTGTAATTATCGATGCCTGGTTTGAACAGCTTATGCTTTTACAACTTTGCAGAACTCATTCAGTTCTACAGACTTTAATATTAATTTTGTATCAATATGAATCATTATTAACAATCATCTTAAGTGGCTTATCTATGAAAATAAAGCACTAAATGATGAATGGCATTTTAATGGTATTGTCTGCCTACTTCCAAAAGACAGAGCCACCAGGTATGAGTACGTACTGGAGAGAATTGAACCTTCTTCATGTCAAATTTGGTGCGATTCCTGGGCTCCGGGCAGAGCAGACTGAGTGTGCAGAGCAGCAGGCAGTTGTGACTCTGGGTCACTGCAAAAGGTGGAACAGGAAAATGAAATTCATGGGTTTAGTGATCAACTTATTTTTTCAGGCAGGCCTGTTTTTCAGAGGATTACTAGTTGGGGTTTTTTGAGCCATAGTGGAATGATCTTTTTAATTTTGATCTGTTTATCGTGTCGTTCTAGTAAGCAGTCTGGGAACTTTTTGGGAGCCCTCAAGGCTTTTAATTTTATCTTCAGTCTTTATTTTTCTTAATGGTCTCCCTACTTTAGCCCATTTTACTATTTTCCCCTGAAAATTTTAAAGGTAAATTACGTGCTGGTTTGCATTAGCCGACTGTTCTCTGAGAATCGATTAATCTTCAAAATATTGGTGTTGCAATCGTCCTGTAAATTGCTACCATTTTAATTTTCCTTCCCTTCCCCTCCAAACTTACAGGGACGGCTTCCAGTAAAGTGGATGGCTCCAGAAGCTCTGTTTGACAGAGTTTACACGCATCAAAGTGACGTGTGAGTGGCCTTATTCGAACGGGCTTTTGCGAGGTGGGAAGGAGGGTTGTTTCGGCTTGTATTTGTTAAAGTTTGGGATATTTTAAATGTACTTTTCCTGTTGTCCTTTACCTTTAAGCGTTTTCATTCTGTTTCACATATTAATAGATGGAACAGGACTTGCCCTTAGAAAGTGAGGATTTTATGGTAGACTGCTAACCAGTGCTCTGTTACTAATCTGCCCAGCTTCAAAGCACATGAAAGGTGGAAAATGCTAACCTCCTTCTGTCAGTGCGGAAGTTTCCCCCCTTGAACTTATTTACGGATGTGCAGCTACAAAGAGTCTATCTAATTTGCTTGGCTTTTGACATAATCTGGACTTCCTTCAGGTTTTTAAAAAAATTTTTAAAAAAGAGAGGAAAAGAAAGTTCCTGAAAACTTCTTATAAAAATTTTGTGCTAAGAGTAGGTGTAATGAAACATAGGCTGGATGTACTGGAAAAGTTTTCTCTGATTTTTAGAAGTGGTGTTGCTTCCCAGCAGTACTTCACATGTAGTAGGAAATCATTGGACTCTGACACTTCAAAATCTTTTAATGTGTGCACAGAGCCGCTGGCTGATGCAACTGCTCAGGATTTATTCTGCTTCCTATTACAGTTTCCGAGGCCCGTCTACGGTACTCGTGTGCATTGTGCTTGAAGTAGACTTGTATTTTTTTTTATGCGATACAGATGAAGATGTTATGGTTTTTATTTCTCCAAGAGAAGCTGTTGACTGTAAAGGGCTGGATGCTTCCCAGCACAGGTGTAAAAGGTTATGCATGTCGGTGCAGGGTTAAAAAGAAAAAGGGCAAGGTGGAGAAAATAAGAGGTAACTCCTCTTTCTTTAACCTGGGTGCACTTCCCGAGCTGTTCTCTCCTTAAGAAAAGCATTTACTGAGGCTTTTCCTGCAATCTTTATATTATTTACAGAGGAAACTATATACACAGGTTAAGGGTGGATCAAACTTTTGTTTTTAACATAACATCTTGGCAAAATATTTAAGTGAATGTGAAGTAACTACTTCACTGGCTCAGGACTGAGAGTCTGAGCCTCTTAGCAGCCACAGAGCACGAGGATTTCGGTGCTGGAACCTGGAGGCTCTTGGCCCCATGGTGGCTTTGAAGACAGCTAAAGCTAATATTATTGTAAGTTTGTGCAAACAGTTTACTAAAATACACTGCTGCAAAGCTAGGAGAGCTGCAGAGAAGCTCGGAGCCATCGCAAGCTGTGTGCTGTTGCTCACCTGGCAAAGCTGCCTGCCAAAGAGCCCGAGGTTGCCAGCAAGGCGTGATGAGGCAGGCTCTGGAGGAGGCAGCAAGCAGGCAGGAAAACTGGCTTAAAATTATCCTCCTTCATTTCCTAACAAAAATGAATAAAAAAAATAAAAAAACAGAATAAGAGAATGATGCAAAATATTTTTGTTGTGAACAGTCTGCTTTTTCCAAAATATCCCACCACATAATCGCAGTCCAGCTCAGCCCTGAGTGTTCTGTAAATAATTAAACTGTGAAGACGCAGTTCTTTGCAGTAGCCCTGTAGAGTTGGGTGCTCGGAGCGCACCAGACAAAGGTGAAGAGCGTGTTTGAGAACGTGGTGCGATCAGTCCCTGTTGCTGCCCACGCACCCGAGGCATTGCACAGCTGGGTGGATGTCCTGCTTGGGGCTGTCGGAGCTGGGCAGATGCTGATTTAGCATCTCCTAAGAGGGATTGGCAGTCATTGCATCTGTCGCAGAAACATCTCGTTTTCAACAATAAGGCAGATGTACTAATGCGGTTTTCTTTTTTGATTTGTAGTTGGTCATTTGGTGTGTTAATGTGGGAGATCTTCACGTTAGGAGGATCGCCCTACCCAGGAATCCCAGTAGAGGAACTCTTTAAGCTGCTTAAAGAAGGGCACCGAATGGATAAACCTGCCAACTGCACCAATGAACTGTAAGGACTCTTGTTTGCTGTACCAGGATGGAAGGGCACAAACTGTACTCGGTCCACATGGTTAATGCTGCCCCCAGCAGAATCACACATTTTCAAGATTGCTTAACTCTAAAGTTGTGGATATATGTGTGTAGATGTGTAAAGAAAAGGTATGAAAAGGTCTTCAGGAAATGTTTGTCAGAGGATACTTCTTTACACACCCTGCTGTGATCCCATTGAAAAAAGAAGAGATCATCTACAAGCCAGTCTTTGTCAGTGTTTTTATACCCATATTTGTTTTATTTTAATCTCATTAACATGAAAATTCCTAAGTGGCACATATACCACTAATCATGTGTAAGCTACATCAGGCTGGTATTGTACACAACAAAAAACCATCTGGGAACTTCTGCATTAACACAGCATTATCTTCTGGTGATGATGGGAAAGTGTTTTCCCTTTCTGATATTTCAGTATAGCCCTCGACTAATTTTAAATTTTTTCCCCATTTTACTTTCTTCACTTCACAAAGACCGTAATCCCTAACATGCAAAAATATTTAAGCATGTGTAATTTAATATCATTGAAATTGCTGGGACAGAAGGCTACGGAATTGGGTCTACTAAAAGGGAATTTAGACACTGGGCAAGGAGTAGACCTGCACCTTTGGGGCAAGGGAGAGCATGGCACAATTTTGGGAGAGTCAGTGGTCTATGTGTAGGGCTGTGGGTGCTTGCTGCTTGACTTGTGGTGGAGAACATAGACTGTGTATGAAGAGGTTTGAGAGGGACGCATGATTTTAATTAAGCCAAGAAAACGTGTATTTCTTACAGCTATATGATGATGAGAGATTGCTGGCATGCTGTGCCTTCACAGAGGCCGACGTTTAAACAGTTGGTAGAAGACTTGGATCGGATTCTCACTCTCACAACTAATGAGGTAGGTAAATTGTTTCCCCCATAAGCTGCTGATCAGGACAAATGGTTCAGGAGACAGATGGAATTTATTCAATTATGAAATATTGCTCAAGTTCTCTTCTTGTTCTGTTTGTCATTGTCCTCTGAGCTTACACGCAGCTAAACTATGTATCCTATGAAATCCTCGGTTTCTTGCCATTACGCCTCTATTTATGTAACTAAACAGAAACACATCTTTAAAGTGTTTTTGTTTATTTCTCATTGCATCTTTTGATGTTTTTAACATAGCAGTATCGAGGGACTGCACGTGGCAGGTCGAGAGGCAAAGTTTTTGTTTCCACGAGTTTCATGTGAAGGAGACATGTAGACTTCATGGTGTTTTTCATTTATCGGCTCAGTTTGATTCCCAGCCATGATATCTAGGTCAGAAGAGGAAAAATCATCAATGGTAGATTTCAGGTTATATGTCTGAGAGTGAAATAGGTTCACTGAAATAGCTCTCTGTGGAGGGAACGAGGACCTACGGGGAACGTGTGAACAGCCATCCAATTATCCAAAGGTCCTGCCTAACACTGCTTCAGGTTGGGATATATGAATGCAGAAAGGTTTTATTTGAAGAGCATTCTTTCAGAGGTCTGAGATATTATTAGTTTTAGCAAGGAACGTACTGATTAGGGTATTCACACAGGAATCGGTTCTCTTATCGCTAAATCACATGCACCTTTGTGGAAGATCACAAGAGATGGAAATGTTGATTCTTTTGGTGGAAACTTCTTGTGAGAGAAAATGCTTGGTGTCCCAGAAACATTTTACAAATTCCTAAGAAATTATATGTATAATGGGAGGAAAAAAAAGAACAAAACACACAGGATTGTTGCAACAACTTGTTTTGACCGTTTCAAAATATATTTTTTCAGATTTTTCTATTGCTTCTTTATAAGGGAGGGGAAAGGTAGGGAAAAAAAAAATTTGGTTTGCTTTATGTGGGTCCTCAACATACTTTCTAATTTTTCAGAACTGTCAGAGAAATAAGAACCGGATTATTAAGCAGCTTTAGGAAAGCCTACCTACAATAGAGATGACAGGAGAACCTGAGTGAAGAGGTGCCATTTTTTATGATCATCATTTACCCAGCAGATCCGGTTGAAAAAGATTTTGGCTTCAGTAGCAGCTATAAATTTATCTGGATTCTGTTTCATAAGTTTACTGTAAGAAGTGGCACCTTCAGGGATGGCTCAGAGTTGAGGCAGGAATACGTTCTCCCTACGGAGCCGGTTGCACAGCTCTGCGTACCGTTACCGTTTTCCCCTCATCCAGTCCTGACCGCATCCTTTCCTGCCTAATTTATATATGATTTCACAAGACCGGTTGGAGGTGGGCTGGCTGCCACTGCGGAGTGCTGGGTGGCTTGGACTGGATATGCATTTGCAAAGTCAAGAGGGAGGTTCTGGGCTGCAATTCTGAGCCTGGGAAAGGATATTGCTTTCTTTTTTGTGTGCGTTTAACTGCCTTGCCTTCCCAATTCCGTACTGCTCGTGGAACTGGAATGATCTCAAAGGTAACCTGAAAAGGCCTTTAGGGTTATGTAAATTATGTTAGACTAGAATCTTAGGAAAAACGGCTGGAAAAAGCTCAGGAACACATCCAGTCCATCTGATAGGCCTACGGCAGGATCCACTATACGTTTGTCATTCCTGACAGATGTTTATGTAACTTGTCCTTAAAGATCTCCAGCGCTGTATTTCCACATCGCCCCTTGACAGTCTATTGCTTTGTTTCATTAGCCTTACTTCTTGACAGTTTTTCCTGATCTCTAACCTTTCAACATAAGATAGTGCTTTTGTCCTGTTTACTCTGGGCACAGAAAGCAAATTGTTTCACTTGTCTTTGCAGCACGTTTTGTGTTCCTGAAAACTCGTGTTCTCACTCGGTGTCTCCTGAGAACTCCAGTGGGTCTCATTTTCCTCTATAGCTTCTGCTTTTGAGACCTTAATTTTGTGTAATCCGCACAGTTTTCCTGAAGCACGGGTCCTTTGCACATCGGTCTGACAGTATTTCTGCTTATCCCCTCCGCAGTGGCACTTTCCCTGTCGCCCGGAATGTCACTGTTGATACAGGGTCAGCCTAGTTTACCCAACTCAAAGAATCGTTAGGGCAGCCAATAATACCACCTTCTGCATTTGCGCAAGTAATTATTTCTGATTAAATGGTAATGTCTTGCTGTTATCCATGCTGAGTCATCACCTGTTGGGGTTGGTTTTTTGGTGGTGGTTTGGTTTTGGGGGTTTTTATTTCCCCGGTTTCCCAGAGTAGCATGCGATGTTTCCCCAAGCCACACGAGCAGAAGTCACCAAGAGTCAGCCTCATGGCTGTGTTGTTACATCAACACCGGGAACCAGCCTGGTACTGGAAACTTCTTGTGCCCCTTTACGTGACTCTGGCCCTTGACATTGGAGAAAGAGGCTGGAGAGGGGATAAGGATCCCACCTTCAATACTGAATTCGTGACTGATTACATGAAGTGTTGTGATATGATGAGCCGTGCCTGACATCCCATGAGAAAGCCGTTTCTTCAAATACTGGAATGCTTTCTTGTTCCGTCTGTCTAGAAAGTGGTTGATTATTTCTGGTCACGTAGGACTGGTTTGCTAATAAATAAATACGTGTCAAGATTGTCCTCATGGATTTTTTAAAAGCCTAGGCAGCAAGACAGGCAATAATCATAGATCCAAACTGCCTTCTCTTGCTGTCTACTGTGTTTGTTGGTGTTTTAAAACCTATATTCCACACCCCCCTTTTAAAATTGTGACCATTTTTTAACTATAATATGGTAATGATTGAATGTCTGCCTTAAAAGTTAACCAAAGAACTAAATTACCCCAAACCTAAGCACAGCAGCATAAAATACTGACTGAGGTGGAAGACTTGTCTTGTCAGTACGATCATAACTTGTGGTTTAGCAAATGAAGAGATTGCATTTAAATGAATGCAGCTGCCTTTAGAAGTTGAAAGAGAAGGAACATTTCAAGGGGAAAAATAACTTTATTCTCTTGCCAAAACTGTTGTTTCTAGCAAAAGAGCCTTAACCCAAAACTTGGATTCAGCAGATATTATTTCCTTTTTTAATGATTGCTTTGGTCATGGCTACTCTGGGACACACACACACACACAGACGAATATGTAGTGTAAAAACCCCAAATCTAGTGAATTTAATTTTGTTTTCCTTTCAGTTCTTTTTTGCACGTATGCCACTGCATGTTTAAACACAAATTTAATATCACAGAATATAAAACAGATATTCAAAGTGACCAAAGGAATATAAAGTTGGAAGTATCTTTCCCTCTCCAAATCATTACCATGTGCTAAAGAAAAATGGTTCTATTTAGGATGAAATTTCATTTTTATCATCGCGAGTGAAAAGTCTTCTTTTGATGTGGTTGGCATGTTTATTTCCACTGACGCGGCTAATGCTGGTGATGTTGGACTTCAGAAAAATACCATGTTATTGGTTTGTTTTTTCTTTCTCAATTCAAACTCCCTTTTTTATGAGATATTTAAGCGACAGGCAGTTTTGAACTCAATTGCGTTAGAGAAATGAGTGTCATTTTTAAACTGTTCTTTTGCCCACTGGATGATCAAACCAAAATCAGAGCAGTGGCAACATGTTATTGTTAGTTTTACTCACTGTCTAAAAATACAGTTTGTTTCTTTTCTTATAGGAGTATCTGGACCTCAGTGGACCTCTCGAACAGTATTCACCTAGCTACCCTGACACGAGGAGTTCGTGTTCTTCAGGTGATGACTCCGTTTTTTCTCCCGATCCAATGCCTTATGAACCCTGTCTTCCCAAGTACCAACACATGAATGGAAGTGTTAAAACATGAGAAGAAATCGTACAGAGGAAGAAAAAAACCAAGAACATCAAGCTACCTACCATATACAAAACAAAATCTTTTCTCCAGGACCTTAGTGTTTCTGCTTGTACATATGAAATATGAAAAGAAAAAAAAAAAGGAAAAAAAAAAAAGAAAACTTGGAGGAAAGCGGTCAGAACCTACATAAAGAATTTCATAATTTGCAACTTTTAAATATTCCCAACAAGGAAGAATGTTTGAGCTGTGTCTAGACACCCATTGCTATCAATTTTCTGGCTTCCTGTAAGCTGCACCAGACTTTGTTTGTACAATGGACCAGTTGGACTTGAGGCAAACTCTGGGTCTGCCTTTCTTGTTTATTTTGTAATATTTGGAGAAAATATATGTTGGCACACACTTACAGAGCACAAATGCAGTATATAGGTGCTGGATGTATGTAAATATATTCAAAATATGTATAAATATATATTATA